GTAAACACAAATTAATGGGTTTAGTATGCACAAATAACTCTATGGCTGAGAAAGAACTTGTAACAGAAGTGCCATTCAAATTAACAAACAACTTTGAATACCTTGGAATAAACCTAACCCAAGATGTGAAAGGCCTCTATGAAGAAATCATAAAATATTAAAGAAACAGAAAAAGACAGTAAGAGACATATAAAATATATCATGCTCATGGATCGGTAGAGTCAATATTATCAAAATGTTCATATTACCAAAACTAATCTAGATTCAATGCAATTTCAAAGTCCTAACAATATTCTTCTCATTTAGAAACACAAGAAGACCATAAATAGCCAAAGCTGTGTTGAACAATAAAAATACAGTTGGTGGAAAAGTTCCAGATTTCAAAATGTATTACAGGGCAATGGTAATCAACACAGTCTAGTACTGGTACAGGAACAGATGATCAATGGGCCATAACAGAAAACTAAGAAGAGAGCCCGTGCATATGAAGCCAACTGATCTTTGACAAGGAAACTGAAGGTAACCCAGGTAGAAACTTTGGCTTCTTTAACAAATGATGTGGGATAATTGAATATCTGCTTGCAGAAGTAGGAAATAAGACCCTCCCCACATTTAACCTTACACAAAAATCAGAATTAGCTTTTTATCAAAAGTTCAAACATAGCACCTGTGATGTTTCATTTATGTTATCATGTATTTCCTTCTTCATTTTCCAATTATTGTGAAAAGTCTCATTTGAAAGACATAGTTTGTTTATCCATGCCTCTATTGAAATACATCTGAACTGTTTCCAGGTTTTGATAATTGTGGAAGGGAGGCCTACTATAAATGTATGCACAGGTTTTCATGTTTAACCAAGTTTTGGGAGATTATTTCTGATCAAATAACTTACAGATTTTTAAGTCACATCATAAATAGACTTCTAATTTGACAAGAAAACGTTAAAGGTTTTTCTAAATTGTCTGGGAGAGAATTCTTTACCTTTTTTCCCTTATGATAGTTTTGCTGCACAGTCAACCAACATATCCACCATCACATTTTTTATCTGTTTTGTTTCATTTGCTATTCTTAGCTCACTTTTAGGTGTCTGATAATATCTTTTTGTTTAGATTTATGTATTTAGTTGAAGGCACAGTAACACAGAGTGAAGGGAAGACACACACACACACACACACACACACACACACACACACACACACACAAGTGTGCATTCTCCAGTGAGGACTGCAATGCCTGGGCTATGAGCAAGGTAGAATTCAAGAGCCAGGAGCCAGAAGCGTCTTCCTGGTCTTTCACATGACTACCAGAGTCCAAATACTTGAGTTGACCTCTGCTGATTTCCCAAGTACGTTAGCAGGAGCTGGATTGTAGTGGAGCAGCTAAGAGGGGAACCAGTACCCACATGGACTACTGGCAGTGCAGGCACCAGTTTAACATGCTGTGTTGGCTCCCCTGTAAGGTAGAGCCCTGTAGCTCTTCATTTAACACTTTATATAAAAATAATTAGGAATAAGGGGGCTGGCTGGACTGGGATAGGTTACAGCACCAACCAGTAGAAGCTGGAAATAGGGGCAGGCTGGACTGAGCCAGGCTGAAGCACTCACTGGTTGATGCCTAGGTGAGGTGAGCCATGCCAGTCTGGGGGTGGTGGGTGCTGTGACCATGAGCCCTGGGAGTTGGGGAGGGAATGGAGGTCTGGTGGAACCCGGGTCCCTTGGCTCAGATCCTTGGGACTGCTTATATGGTGGGTACTATGACCATGAGTCCTGAGAGCAGGGGGTCTTGTGGGGCTTGGGTCACTTGGCCTGAGTCCTTGGGCCTGCCTGCAAGGTGGGTGCTAGATCCATGAGTCCCAGGGGCAGGGTGGTCTAGGTCAGCTAGCCTGGGTCTTTGGGCCTTCCTGCACAGTGGGTGCTAGGTCTGTGAACCCCAAGGGTGGGGGTTCTGACAGCGTCTGGGTCACCTGGCCTGGGTTCTTGAGCTTGCCTGAGAGAGGTGGTCTTCCTCAGTGGAGAAGATGGAGTAGTTGACAATTGACCCAGATCCACATAGAGGATATGGCAGCCTATGGGACCTTCAGAAGACATCTGTTATTGTAGCAGAGGAAGGAGAACAGAATAGATCAGACAACTCCCTCAACAAACAGTGACAGCAAATATCTGGGCAAATGGAGATTCTAAGTGGACTATGCCAGCCCATGGACATTGAATGTGTTCCCTCATCCTTGGATCAGCAAGATCAACATTTCAGAACTGTCAAAACCACTGGGTGGAATTCTTGGGGCATTCTCCACATCAGGATCCTAGCTCAATATTGGGTCCCCATTCCCAATCCTCAGGTGCTGGAGTGGTTGAGAGGCTGGGTATGGCTTCCCTCCTGTTTCCCCCTGACCCCAAATACAAGAAGAAATGGAAAGCTTGGAAACAATGATATACCACTTTTTCCTAACCCTCGCTCCTTCCTACCCATGTCAACTATGTAAGCATCATCTAAAATAGAAATTTAAAAATGAGAAAAAAATTAGGGATTTACAATGTTTTACAAAATTCTGTTGAGAGAAATTCCTTGTAACCTTAACCCAGCCTTTATTAATGGCAAACCACCGTCGTTCTCTTATAATAAAAAAGTGGAATAAAATATATCAACATTAATTATCTTTGACCAGGATATGTTCACACTCACTTGTGTGCACATATGTTATAATGTGTGCACAGGTGTAACATTTTTTACATGAATTATTTATTATTTTATTTTGATAATCATTGAATAGGGTACAAAGGGTCAAGGGCTACAGGAAAGTGGGTAAGACCATTGTTTCCGCACAATTACTGTCTTTCTTTTTATTCTTTTTTCTTTTTTTTTTTCTTCTTCGAGACTCGAAGCTGCCACAGTTGTGATCTCAACTTTATGATCAAGCCGTGAGTCATACTGTTAGCTAGATACAAACGCATAACTGGTCTCTTCCTTCTTCCATAACTCTAACCAACCACTACATTGTTCTTCAGTTACATGATTTTATGATTTATAAATTAGATTTTTTTTTTTGCTCATATCAAGAGTTTTTTGTTTTTAACTTCCATTTCGGAGAAAGCACACTTCTTTGCTCCCTTTCGGATAGTGCCTTTGCTGTAAGTTATATGAACTCTGTCACTCAAAGGCGCAGAAGTCCCTGCAGTTAGACAAGATAGAGCTTTACATTTTGCATAGTAGCTTAGAGTATTCTTTGAGTTAATTTAAAAAAAAAAGATTTATTTTATTTGTATTTGAAAGTCAGATATGCAGAGAGGAGGAGAGACAGAGAGGAAGATCTTCTGTCCCATGTTTCACTCCCCAAGTGAGCGCAACGGCCGGTGCTGTGCTGATCCAAAACCAGAAGCCAGGAACCTCTTCCCGGTCTCCTACATGGGTGCAGGGTGTCAAGGCTTTGGGCCGTCCTTGACTGCTTTCCCAGGCCACAAGCAGGGAGCCGGATGGGAAGTGGAGCTGCCGGGACTAGAACCGGCGCCCATATGGGATCCTGGCACGTTCAAGGAGAGGATTTTAGCCGCTAGGCCACGCTGCCGAGCCCTGTTTAATTTTATTTTTACTTTTTAAAAGATTTATTCATTTTCATTGGAAAGATGAATCAGATTACAGAGAAAAGGAGAAACAAAGATGTTCTATCCATAGGTTCACTCCCCAAATGACTACAACAGCCAGAGCAGGGCCAATCCCAGGCCAGGAGCCAGGAACTTCTGGGTTTCCCACACAGGTGCAGGGTCCCAAGACTTGGACCATCCTCTACTGCTTTCCCAGGCCACAAGCAGGGAGCTGGATGGGGAGTGGAGAAGGGATGGTGGAATGGTGGTTGCCAGGCATCTGGGGAGAGAGGCACAATGGAGAGGAACTGCTCTATGTTTGGGCAAATTTAGTTTTGCAAGATGAAACGAATTCCCAATTAGTTATCATAGCCAATCATATGAATGTATTACATTTACTGAAAATGGTAAATTTGAAGAAGCCCGATTATTACTTTATAATACAATATTAATATCAACAGCACCCTATGTGGCACATGAGTGTGTTCAGTGCATGATCATAGGTTTCGCAAAAATCAAGTGCATGTGTGCTGCATCTCTGGCTCCTGGATGCTTCCCTAAATGCAGGGAGCTGAAATGTGGGCCCCTAGAGCTGTTGGCCTCAGGTATCCAGGGAGCTGGGGCCTTTCTGGGCTCAGCAGCAGAGCCTACCCCCTGAGCTCAGGTACGGTTCAGCCCATTGCTCCTTTCTTCCTTTCCTGCCCCTCCCAAGAGCCCAGAGACCAATGGCCTGCCGAGTTTCAGTTGTGTCCTCCTGCCAGCTCTGCTCTGTTCCTCCTCCTTCCTGTTTTTGCCCCTCCCATGCAATCATCGCGAGCTGTTGCTATTCCGTTCCTAACGGCCCATTTCCAACCAGTCTGCCATGCCAAGTGCCCATGCCAGTTTCCACACAATGCTGACTTTCCTGTTCCTCCTCTCGGGCCTTGGTCTCCTGACATCCATGGCTCTGAGTAAGTGGAGAAACCTGCTGGGAATTCTCCGTGTGTTGCTGTATCACCTTGCCGTGTGAGCCACACTCTCCCTGCTGCACAAGTAAAGGACAGCGTGGGGAACACGGATAGGCCAGCTTGCAAGACCACCGAGCAGGAGTGTGACGCTCTTGCTGGGGCCGGAATAGGCGTCTCATTTCCCTGGCCCTTCACAAGCCTTGTAGATATGCTTACTGAGGTCGGCATGAAGGGGGCGTGGCTATGGCTGGAGCCCCACAGCCCATACTCTCCTAGTTCAGGTCTTCCTGTCAGGAGCCTCTTCCTGGAATGAGACTCTGTGTGTGTGTGTGTGTGTGTGTGTGTGTGTGTGTGTGTGTGTGTGTGTGTGTGTGTGCGCGCAGTCTTGTGCATTCATGGAGAGAGACAAAATGAGAAGACAAGGATGCTGCTGCTGTAACTCAGGATGAAGCTAGTGTGTCTCCCTTTGCCGCAGGTTCTGAAAAGCCATTTCTGCACATAACAGTGCCAGAGAAGATTGGAGCAAGCATCCCCCAAGGTCATGCTTCAGAAGCACAGGTACTTACACATGCCTTTTTTTTCCCTTCTTTACTGGAGGTATTTTATTTTATATATTTTATATACTTTTATATTATATATTTTATTTTTATATATTCTACATATTTTTATATTTTATGTATTTATAGATTTTTATAGATTTTTAAAATATATAATTTTACATATTTTACAGATAAATTTAGATTATGTCTCTGATCAATCCAGACATATTTCCCTTTGAAATATTGTGTGTTTTGTAAAGTAAATGTCTGTTTTACTTTTCAAGTAACATGGGAAAATATGTAACAACTTAAAATCCATATTCAGGAAAAACGCTCCGAATTTCTGTAACACCAGTTAACCTAGTAGCTCACTGACAGTAACACAGGGATCTAAACATGTATTGTAATGAACTGAGGTCATGCTAATGCCCTGTATCATGATTGTAAGTTACAATGCAGAGATAACACTCCCATACCCTTGCACAGCATACCTACATCCTTGTGCACAAAGAACTGCGTTTTAACTCGGACTACGTGAAAGCTGTGTGCACGGTAAATGAATCTAGCACAGAGGTTGGTGACTCGAGGGAATGTCTACTCCAGTTTTTCAAGATAATAAATGTGAAGGCAGAATATCTTAGCAGGCACACATGCATTTTAACCATCATATGACTGCAAATGCTTCTTGACTCATGTGGATTTACCGAACTTTGTGTTATCAAACTTTTGATCTAAGGGATTTTTTAAGCCCTCTTTTTTTTTCTTAATATTTTAGTTTTCATGTTAGAGTTCTGTAGTCTTGGGATTTTCTCCTTCTGCTTTCCCTTTTCCCTTCCCTACTCACTCTATGTTATAAACACTCTTTTATAGTAATCTCCATAAAATGAATGGGCATTTGGAATATTTTAAAATGGACTCTTCAAAAACGGTGGGGATTTAAATTATAACATTCTATTCCAGAATCACATTCTATTGTACTATCATTATTAAAGAATTATAGTTCTCACGCCAGCATCAACATACATTTTGATTGGCTTTTCTTTTTAGTTTTGACCTAGAGAGACTGAATTTTTGTTCATTTCGTATTGATTTTGACATCTGTTTCTATAAAACTAAAATCCCTGCTTATGGCACTTTATTTTCAATAACGTTGCTCTACCATGAGGACTAACAGAATACAGATATTATACTTAATCTTAGAAGAAGCAAATGAGGATGGGTGGGAACATGGGAGGGTGGGAAATGTCATACTCTTCAAACTATGCATGTGAAATATGATTTTTTTCTTTTTATGTAAATTAAAAATAATCAAGAGAAATACCGTGTTTTCACTTGAATCTCATAGTCTCTGAAGGACGTTTGGCAGTATAGATGTTCTAAGGTGTCCTAAATGACTCATTTTACTGGCACCAAAATAGCATTCAAATGATGTGTTTACAGAAGCCACTACAACCACAACACAAATATTCTGAGAAATTAAAATGTTTAGTAAAAGGTGTAACATAAGGAGTTTGTCCTGCATAATCTTGGGTTCTCCATGGACTGATTCAACCAACTATAAATCAAAACCCCTTGGGAGAAACTGAGTATATGCAGTCTTCCAATTATGCCCTAAACAATACAGCATTACAAGAAGTTACCTAGCGCTTATGCTGTATCAGGTTACCTAGGAATGCAGTAATGCGGTACAATTGTGTATTGAAGTAAATCTGAGGAATGAAACAGATTCTCTAAAACCCACACGGTGCGGAAGTGGGACATTTAGTGCTGTAACTCACTACTCACCCAACAGAGCTCTAGCCCCGAAGTTGTGATGCACAAACTCCAGACCACTCCAGTTTGCTTGGTGGACAAGGGAGCAGCCCCTTTTGAGCTTCTCAGTACCAAGAGTGAGACTCTAGCTAACACAAAACCTGGTGTGACTGACAGTCAGCCCCTAAGGACTGAGGCTAAACACCCCAGAAAGCTGCACACATACCACAGGCTGGACAACTGTGACCCCGGAAAGCTCCACATATACCACAGGCTGGACAACTGTGACACTCTTAGACACTGCGAACACCAACTAAAGCTAAAGAAATTACTCAGAGATTGAACTTCCGGGATCACCTAAAACAAAACCAAAGCAACAAGTCACATGACACCTTGCATCTCGTCTAAATAAACAGGTGCAACAACAAAACAATGAAACCTAGTCCATGGAAAGAGGTCAATGTTGGAACATAGGAAGCATGAAAAGAAGAGGAAGCATGAAGCCTCCATGAGAACACAAGAGTTCACCAGAAGTAGATCTTGATTTGAATGAAATTATGAAACGTCCGAAAAACAAATTCAAAATATTCAACTCAGTTAAACTCAACATGATTCCAGAGAGTACAAACGGAGAGTTTAAAGAAATGAGGGCAGGGGTGGTTGTGTGGTACAGCAACTTACAGTGTCCCTTGTGGTAATAATGTACCACGTGAGTGGTTAGAGTCCCGGATGCTCCATTTCTGGTCCAGTCCTCTGTTAATACACCTGGGAAGCAGCAGGAGATGATTCCAGCTTGTGGGCCCATACCAACTGTGTGAGAGGTCCAGATAAAGTTCAAAGTTCCAGGCCTTCGCCTGGCCCATCCCTGGCTGGTGTGAACATTTGAGGTGTGAGCCAATGGAGGATCTCTCTCTCTCTGTCTTCTCAACTCTTTCTCAAACTATGCCTTTCAAATAAATAAATAAAATTTAGGAAGAAAGAAAAAGAAATGAAAAACAGATATATACCATTATAAAGACATACATTTCTGATATATCGTTCCAATTTTGGTATATTTGCTGCCGAAGAGAGCACCATTTCTGATATAAAAACTTGAATAAATGTAGTTGACAGTTTCAGAGAAGAATAGATGAAACACACAAAGTATTTCTGATCTGAAGGATAAGATTTTATAGTGCCCCAAGCAGAAAAATGGAGAAAAGAATGAAAGGGAATGAGGAAAATCTATGTGAATAATGAGGTTCCACTAAATGATCAAATAATCTTATTATAGGGCTTCCTGACAGCAAAGAGAAAGAAAAGCTCTACGAGAACCTACTGAATGAAATAATCTTTGAAAGCTCTTTGAAATCTGCACAGGATCCTACAAGAACTCGACCCAAAAATAATCTGTGTAAGGAATACTGTAGTCAAATTGTCAAAATATGTGGACATGGAAGGGCTCTTAAAGACAGTAAGAGAGGGTCTGGAAGAGATAGCCTAGTGGCTAAATCCTTGCCTTGCATCCTCTGGGAAATCATATGGAGCTGGTTTGAGTCTCAGCTGCTCTGCTTCCCATCCAGCTCCCTGCTTGTGGCCTGGGAAAGCAGTAGAGGACGACCCAAAGCCTTGGGACCCTGTATCCATGTGGGAGACCTAGAAGGAGCTCCTGGATTCAGATCAGTTCAGCTTTGGCCGTTACAACCACTTGGGGAGTAAACCAGTGGTGAAAGATCTCTCTCTCTCTCTTTGTCTCTCCTTTCTGTGAGAGAGATGTCTTTCCAACACAATGCATTAGGTACTGACGAAATACAGCCAAATGATCAAGGTGATAATTGGCATGCTATCAGTCAATGTAAGGCTGAAGGAGGAATATCTAAGAGTATCTCCCCTTTAAACAGGGGAGGAAAGTATCATTTTACCACCCATATTCAATATGGTATTAGAAATATTAGCAACATTGGTTAGGAAGAAAAAGAAATAAAGGGCTTCAAAATTGAAAGGAGAAATTCAGCATACGTGTGTCTGTGGATGGTGTGACGTCACACATGAGCAAACCAAAACCCTTAACCAAAAAGCTTTTAGCATTGATGAATGCCAAATGCTAACAAAACCATCATACCGAAAATTAATATTTTCACACACCAGCAGTCATCTCCCTAAAAGAGAAAGCATGAAAGAAATTGCATTCACAAAAGTCAGCAAAGAAAAGCCCCTGGATTTACGAAGAAATTAACTGAAAAAGTCAAAAATCTCTATGAGGCAAATTATAGAAGTCAATAAAAAAAGTTACCGAGGACACAAAAAAGAAGATAGCCCTGGTCCAGTTACTAGAAGAATCAATAGCATTAACACCCTATACTCTCAAACACAGCCTACCAATTCAGCAAAACTCTTATCGTTGGCATTCTTGAATTAGAAAAAAGCACCAGAATTTTGTGAAATTAGAGAAGTCCCAGAAGATGTAATCATGTTTTGCAAGAATTAATCCTAAAAGCTCACACACCTGATCTCAGTGCATAGTACAAAGGTGCCATAGTTACCACAGTACTGTTATAAAGACTGACAGAACAATTAACATAATCAATAGCCCAGAAATTAATCTTTGTACATGCAGCTGATTTCAACAAAAATGTTCAGAACCAACCTTGGATCAATGACATCATTTTTCTGTAACTGGTGCTGGCAAAATACACATATCTGTTACACAAAAAATAAAATTAGATGCTTTCTTTTTTTAAAATTTATTATTTTTGTTGGAAAGTCAGATATACAGAAAGAGGAGAGGCAGAGAGGAAGATCTTCCATCTGATAATTTACTCCCCAAGCAGCCACAGTGGCCAGAACTGAGCCGATCCGAAGCCAGGAGCCAGGAGCTTCTTTCAGGTCTCCCACGTGGGTGCAGGGTCCCAAGGCTTTGGGTCATCCTTGACTGCTTTCCCAGGCCACAAGCAGGGAGCTGGATGGGAAGTGGCACATCCGGCTGGATTAGAACCGGCGCCCATATGGGATACTGGTGCTTGCAAGATGAGAACTTTAGCAGCTAAGCCACCATGCCGGGCCCAGATTCTTAACTTTCCCCACATAAAAGCCAACATATTATGGTTCAAAGACCAAACTAAAATCTAAAGCTATGAAACTGCTAGACGTAAATGTGGGAGCAACACTTGAAGACATTGGGGTACGTGACGACTCCTGAATAAGACTTACAAGCTCAGGCAAAAAAAGTGAACATAGACAAATGGCATTATGTAAAATTGGAAAGATTCTACTCAACAAGGCAGAAGAAAAGATTCAAGGGCAGCTGAATAGGCAGGTCTCAGGAGAAGAAAAAAGAAATGAGCAACAAATATAAGGAAAATGAAGGCAATGCAGATGAAATTCACCATGAGCTAGCTCACCCTTGGCAAACTGGTTGTTGTCCGGACGTCTGCACAGCAACCAGTCCTAGTGAGGACAAAGAGAAAGGCCGGGTCTCACACTCAACTGGTGAGGATTTACGTTAGTAAACCACTGTGGGAGACAGTGCCGAGATCTCTGGAAAACTAAAAATGATTTGCCATTTGGTTCTGGAATCCCAGTGCTGGTATATTACCAAAAGACATGAACTAGCCTCCTCTCCATGTTGATGGCTCCAACGCTCACTACAGCCAAAATACAGAAACGACTAAGGTTTCTGTCATCACAAGAACATATGAAGAAGATGTTATATAGGTGTCTATAAAGAAAATGTGTTATATATGATATATGTATACATATGTATGTCTATATTGACACAGTGGAATTTTATTCAGCTATAAATCATATGGCAAATGGTAACCAGGTTACGCTTCATCTTGAATGAAATGAAAGACAAATACCACATATCATTTTCTCCCTTATAATTGGGACATAAAAATTTTAAATAATAAACTCTGTCGAGATGCAGAATATTAATTACTGAGGCATGGAGAATTGCAAAGGATAATGGAAACTTTGATTTAAAAATGCAAAACCTGGGCTTATTCATTATTTGTGTCTAATAATGAAACATCAAATTTAACAGGGGAGATGAGATAAAAGATATATGGGAGCCAATTGTATAATTACCTCATGGTTTATAAATTTTAATCAACAGGGACTGATTTTAAAAAAGAAATGAGAAAAGGTTTTGAGTTTCAATAGGATCCTAGAGCCCATATCTTATAATAAAAGCAATATGCTTTCTGATCAGAATGCTTTTTTTAAAAAATAATTTTTTTTTTTAATTTGAAGGACAGATTTTTCAGGGAAAAAGACAGGTAACATGACAGATCTTCCATCTTCTTGTTTATTCCTCAAATGACCACAAATGCCAAAGCTGAGCTGGTTCAAAACTGGGAGCCAGGAGCTTCTTCCTGTCTCCCATATAGGTACAGGGTTCCACGGCCCTGGGGACATCCTCCTCTGATTTCTCAGGCCATAATAGGCAGGGAGCTGGATTGGAAGTGAAGCAAGCCGGAGATTAATCAATGGGGGTGTTGGCACTGCAGAGAATTAGCCTGCCCATGCTTGCTTCCAAGCAAAATACTTTTAACAAAGCTGGCATGTGATGAAAATAAACTGTATTATTACTCAGTGGCTAATTAAGAGTGTTGAGCGTTTTGGTATTCTACCTTCACTCCCACTAACAACTGCTCTACCTAAAGCAAGGGAGACACCGTGTAGTGAAAGTTTGATAATACCAATATCAAATCTGTATGATAAACACATGCATAATTTTATCAAATTGTATAGCTCTTGATAATTTGTGGCATATCACATCTCATGTGTGCATTTACGCACATTAGACCCTTACTCAGTTTCTCAGCCTTTTCCTGACATACGATAACCAATTTCTCTGTGAACTAAACTTTATGGGAATGGGACTTGCAGCAGTACATTTTAAGTCTTGGGTTATTTCATTCAATGAACTATTTGATGTTTTCCCCGGTGTTTAAGATATTAAGTAGTTCATATATATTATATCTGTGCATTTTTCTAAAAATTGAATTACAAACCTGTTTATAGATAATATCTTGTTCAAAATATTGTGAATAATTTTATTGTACAGAAATGAGCATTTCATTGGCATAATTATCACATAAATTTCATATACTTAGTAATAAAGTCCTGTTTGACAAATTGAATTTATCTTTATGCTTCTATGAATCTGATAAAACTGCTTGGTAAGTGGAGAACATAGGAAAAGCACTTCAGGACATGTTTTTTTTCAGGTAATAATTTTCTGATATAATCCCCCAAAGCATAGGGATCAAGAACAATTCATCAGAAATGGGGTTATAGAAATTAAAATGTATCTAAACATCCAATAGAATCCTTTATAGAGTTTAGGGAAAATTTATATAGTGAAGGAAATATTTATTGAAAATTAGTCATCTGACAAGGAAGGAATATCTAGACTATTTACAGATCTCGAAATAACTGTGCAGGAAAAATAATAAAATAATATACAAAACTGAACAAGCAGTAAGTAAAAAAGCGTTCAACTTCATTCAGGGACATTCCACCCCAAACCACAAGGAGAGATTTTCTTATTCCAGTTGGAGAAGCTACTCCCAAAATGACAATAACAACAACAACAACAAAAAGCTGATGGGTTGCAGAAAAATTAAACTCATAGGTTATTAGTGTGACCACAAATTAGGTAGTCACTATGAAAACCAGCGTCCAGTTTCTCAAGGAAACTTGTACCATCATGTGATCCAGAAATCCAACTGGAATATATATATGTACATATGTGTGTATACTTATATTTTGTATTTATATAAACAGCATAAATATGTACACAGATATGAACCTATTAACACATTAACAAGTATAAATGGTATGTATTATGTATTATATAAATTATATATATAAAACATCTTCAGTAATATATTTGTTGCAGTCATATTCAGGGTAGCCAAAATATGGGCTTGACGTAGGTGTCTACAAGAAGAATGTGGAATGTAGAATGTAGGATGTTTACTTGGGAATTATTTTTCCATGACAAGGAAATCACCTATCCTTTATAAATAACATGGATAGAACTTGAGTACCTTATATTCCATTATACATGGCAGGAATAAAATATCAAACGCCTCATGGTCCCACAGATGTGTGGGATATTTTAAAAGCTGCTCTTAGCATAAGGACTTGAGCACAGTGATGCTTGAAAAAACAAAGTACTTGCTGTGCTTGATAAATATAACCAACAAAGATAACATGTAACTATTATGTTCAATTTAGTATTGAAGGATGATAGAGAATGTAGATGGACATATAGATATGTAGTTAGCAAAATATTATTTGAACCTTTAAAAAAAAAAACCAAATTCTACAACTGTCCTTTGTGACCAAGGGAGCTGAGATTATGCCAAGTGAAATAAGCCAGGTTTAGAAGACGATTGCGACCTAATCCAACACATGTGTGAACCCTAAAATGAAGATCAAGGTCTAAGTGATCAGAAGGTGAGGGGATGCAGCCAACAGGAGGTGTTGGTCAGAGTGCATAAATGTAGAGTTACAAAATGAGTAGGCTGGAGAAGCTATGGGAACCACAATCAATCCTCTTCAACTTTGAAAAAAAAAAGAATGCATTATCCTCATCATGTTCAGCGTAAGGCAACTATGTGAGAAGATGAGTAGTTTACTAGTTTGATCAATGCAATCATTGTACTCTCATGACTATCCAAAATGTATAGGATGACTTATATCATTTCAGTCAAGTTGGAAAGTGATTCTAAAATCGTGTCTACTACAGTTTAAAAAGGGCTGACTGATTACTTGCAGGTCTGTTCTTCATGAAGATACTACCATGTGACAGTCAGCGATATTACCATATTTGTCAGTGACAGCAAAGGTCCATTTTGTGATATTCCTGACAAATGTGGCCTTTGCTGGAACTCATGTCTGTGTGGTGTGACCCTCTTCGGCTGAGGTGCTTCTCAAAGAGGACAGGGAGCTGGATCAGGCCTCGGGAGGAATCGGTTCCTTAGTTCTGTCACAGAGGCTTTGCCTCTCTATGTGGGTTTCTGTCACCTTGTGCTGGGAACCCGTAGGAGAAAGAATGTTAAAATGCAAGTCTTTTCATTCCTCAGCACCTCTAAGGGTGACCTTCATTTTAAATTCAAATCTCATCAACAGTGGATAATATTATTTATACCCTTTATAGTTGAAATCACTTTGATCTCCTTAGTGCTTTTGATATTTATGATTTTCATTTAAAAATACAAATTTTTATTTCTTTGAGAGGGAGGGCTATAAAAGAGAGGGAGAGAAAGAAGATCACATCATTTATTTCTCAACTGTTCGCAATGTCCAGGGCTGTTCAAGCTGAATTCAAGAGCTGGGAGCTTCTTCCACGTCTCCCATGTATGTACAGGAGCTCAATTATTTGAGCTGTCTTCTGCTGCTTTCCAGGGTGCGTAAGCAGGGAGCTGGATTGGAGGGAGCTGCTGGGTTTGAACAACCAGTATCTGTATGATATAACAGAGCCTCTGAATTTGACTACTGCACCACAGCGTTGGGTCCTCATGGGAATCGGTTTTGAGACATACAGGATCTAAAGTATGTTATACAAAAGAGCACATGCATTTTCAGCTATTGTGCAATTTCTAATTTATTTCTCCAAATATTTTGCCTCAGGTTACCTACATTCTCAAGATTGGGGATGAATTGCACACTCTTCTTCTTGAAAAACAGTAAGTGCCCGTTTTTCCTTTCAGGTGGCTATATTCAGTGCCTCAAAATGTTATGAATATGTTAGGCGTGTTTATTATTTTATACATTCTTTGTGAGGTGTGTTAGACTGAATCTTATGTCTGTATCCTGAGATTTTAAAAGTTGCAATCTGGCAAATTTTACTAAGGACAGAAATATTAATCAATGTTTCATAAAGTAGAATTGCTTCATGCAGATTCTTAAAATCTTTGAATCTGTCATGCAAGAGGGACAGTTTAGGGCATAATTTTGTGTTTACTGTTTAGTTTGATACACATAAAGTTGTGTTTACAAGCTACATAGATTACACATTTATGTTATTTTCAGCATTTTATTGGATATTGCCCATATAAAGATATAATTACTGTGAAGATCAGGTGAGAAAAACTTCTGACAGGGCAGCCGAGCCTTGCCGATGGTCTCAACCTTGCTTAAACTACATGCAAGCAAATTCACCTCACTGTTAATCTTCTGAATTCTCTCCTTTCTACTTCCCATTTGAAAGGAACTAACTATGTATAGGTTTTCAAAACTTGGCATTGTCAGTTCCATTTTTACATACAACACGCATAAACCTCCCCAAATGACTGATTAGAAGGAGATACATACAGTGCACCAGAACTGGCTGTGTGACTGACAAGTACACACTGTTGTCTCACTCGCTCTGCAGGAGACAACTTGTGCAGGTGGCAGGAGGGGTTTAGAAACCATCACTGTGGCCGGCCACAAGAAACATCCTTGCATGCATGTCCTTATTTGGTATCAAGAAATGGTTTCTTGTTGAAGAGGGAGTGAGACTGACCACTGTTCATGGGGTACATATGATTTTGTGGTTACTTGTTATCAAGTTTCATGCACAACACACTTGTCATGGTGTCCATTATTCATTCACTTTTTGTTGCATATTCAGAATTTTTGAAATGTTGCCCGATTCCTTTTGGAAAAGACAGTGCCCATTTAGATCTCCCAAATAGCACGTGTTGTGATGAAGCATAGAGTCTCACTGACGCTCTACTTCATTTCTGGCTGAACAATCAGTCTCATGCCTGAGTAACATTTGACTTGCCTTTAGGAGGTGTGTATATGTTCTATTGTTTTCCTAATCTTTTACTGTTAACTTTTTCACTCTGAAAAATGTCTAACGTTGAAATCAGAAAATGATAAGAATGATGCAATTGATCTTTTAACCAACAGTGAAGCACATGTAAGCGTTTTTCCATACATACTGAAATGAACAAGGATCTATGCCGTAACAATTCACCTCTCTCAGTGAAACCACATCACCATCTCAAATGAAGATTTTGAGATTCTACAATTTTTTTTTCTCATTCTACTGCTATAAAAGCTCTAGATGAAGATAAAATGTAGTGGAATGGAGTAAATAAAGACATTCAAAGATACTCATTAAAACAATAAATTTGATATTTGTTTTCTTAAACAGGTTACTATATGATATTTAAAAGCTGCTCCAAAGAGTTAATTATGGTCAGTTTTTGTGTATTTTTACTTAGCTTATGAATGATGCAGTATTTTATGCTTTTACATTTTTCTTCTTTTAAAAAAAGATTATTACAAAGATAAGATACTGCATGTAATTCATAGGCACTGTTCAAGGGAGAACTCTATATTATGGGAAAGGTGTATGGATTCCAATATTTTTTATACTCAGACACATTTTACCGTTTATTTTCCATGAATTTTGACATAAGCTGTGTATGTGTGCAGTCTATCATAACCAATCAATGAAAGTTTTCTAATGTTATCATCCCAAAAAAGTTATTGCTAATAGAATCTAACAGCAAACTCTTTCTCAAATTTGAGAGCTGCAGCTATTATTTTATGTAAGTCTGTTTTTGCTGGTTGAGCATATTGAATCCATTGCAACGTCTTATAATATCTGCTTCTTATTTTCTCTTGTAATTGACGTTTGTGTAAACTTAATTTTATTTATTTATTTTGGAAGGAATTCTTAACTGATGCTGTTGTTAAAATTAACACTATTCTTTTGGCTGAACTAGGTCATTTTTACCACCTTATTTCATGGTATATTCATACGACAAATTAGGAACACGGAATATGGTTTTTTCACAAAAACTGGTAAGTTTTGCAATCTACTGAGTTGATGCACAAGTTATGCTTTAATGGAACCATGGTTCGGAAGAAGACATTCCATCTTCTTTTCCTCTGCAGAATTGTTAAAGCAAAAAGGTTACAAAGTCATATAAAGTGATAGCTCATATGAAGGTATATTATATCATATATGCACACATGTAAATATGTATATATTTATATGCATGAACACACACACATAAATCTTAGAGGCAAGAGGACAAGACAGACACGTGCTTTGTGCTGGCTTATTCCTCAAATGCACGACAATACAACTGAGCAGGCCAGGAGCAAGAAGCCAGGAAATGGAGCTGGACCTCCCATGCTGATGATACCCATCACACCCGGGCCCTCAGGCCTGCCAGCAATGTGCATGTGGTCAGAAAGCTGGAGTCAGCAGTGGAGCCAGGGCCTGGTCTGAGGCGCTGTCACGGGGGATGCTGGTAACTCAGGGAGTCCTAGCCACCTCAAACGTCTACCCCGAAAAAAAAAAAAAAGTGCTAAATGCAGTGACATTTTTAAGCCTAGCGTTTGGCAATCGAAACAGAAATCCAGGGGCTGTCATTTTGGTATCAGCACTCCATGTGATCACTCCTGGTTTAGGATTTGAGCACTTGGACAACACAACTGAGGCCATTTGGGCATGTGTGTGTGTATGTGTGAAAGATTTCAAAAAATCTTTTGCAAAAAATATATAGATCTATTTGTGTAAAAGGCACAGTTACAGAGAGAGGAATCTTTCATTTTGCTCCCAAATTGTCAAAACAACCAGGGCTGGGTAGCTCCGTAACCAAGAGCTTAAAGCTTCTTTCAGGTCAACATCATGTGTACCGGTGCCCAAGGCCTTGAACTATCCTCCACTTGTTTCCCAGGCCACCAGCCCTGAGATGGGTCAGATATGGAGAGGTCAGGACTAGAAGTGTCAGTGTGGGATGTCAGTGCTGCAAGTGGAGGATTAGCCTACCACTCCATTACACCAGCCCCAAGCAGTAGGAATTTAAGAGAAAACAAAATGTGAGTGAAGGAATACAGACAGGCTGTGAGGAGTAACTGATCTGCAAGCAGCAGAAGTAGAGGTTGAAAACACTTTGTAGACAAACTGGAGTGTGGAGGGGAATTGGTGAGAGAGAGGATGGGAGAACAGATTGGGTCTATGAAAAAAACATTTGGCTTGAATTATAGCCAAAAGACATTTGCAAGTGTTACACAAAAGTTGTAATTTATCTTCATTTTCTCCTTGTTACACTAAAGTATGGCTGTCTTGACTGAGAGGCAGGCAGGGCAGGAGGCTGGAAGAACACTCCTGGAGACATATAAGTAGGTGGGGAACATTTTCTGAGCCATGTGGCAGCTTGGTTATGCTCAAGAACAACTTCAGAGAATTCTGGAGATTCAAAGTGATAACGAATTCACTGGAAATGTATCCTTTTGCTGCTGGTGGCTGGTCAGCTACAGCAAGGAGGTCAGCACCCAGCTGTGTTCTCTGTGCTTTATAGAATACAGTAAGCAGCTACGGGGCTACACAGAAGAGTATCAGTTTCTAATGATTAGCACCTGATGTATCATGTGCCTCAATGGATTTGTAACATTAAAATATTTTCATAATGACATAAAGATATTATTGGTGTTCTCACTCTCGATTTCTCAGAGTTGAAAATGTGAAACTATGACATCCTCCCACACATCTTCTCTTGTTTCAAAAAAATATATTTTTCTTAAGTGACATTTACTGTATCAAGTGACAAATTTATTTTCAAATTAATCAAAACATAAAAGATTCTCAGTAAAGTTTCTAATATGGCAAATATCGATAGATAATAAACTTCATAAATAATTGCTCTTTGGCTTCCTAATCACTTTATATTTTACCAGTTTATATCCATCTTTTCAAAGACATCTTTATATGTCTTTTGCCCGTGTTCTGATTGGATTATCTGAGTTTTGTGAGCTCTTTAAAAATATTGGATGTTAATCCTCTGCCAGTTGCATAGTTTGCAAATAGCTTCCCTCGCTCTCTTTGTTGCCTCTTTGTTGTCTCCTTTTCAGTGGAAAAGCTTTGATTCAGTTTTACTATTGTGTATGTATCCAGAAATCTGTGTATTGCTTCTCAATTTTCCAATTTGTTAGCATGTATCTGCTTGTAGTGGTGCTCAAGGTTTCTTCTTTTCTTTTTCAATTTTTGTCATTACTGTGCTTCCATTGGCTTTTTCATTTGCAATTTAATTGACTGGGTTCTTCTCTTTCTCTTTTTCTCTGTTAGTTGAACCAGTGGTGTATCAACTTTATTTTTTAATTTTACTGACTTTTATAACATCTTTGGTTTTAATTATGTGTGTGTTTTCTCTGATTTTTTTCTTTTTTTTTTTTTTAAGATTTATTTAGTTTTATTGGAAGGGTGGATATACAGAGAGAAGAGACAGAGAGGAAGATGGTTCACTCCCCAAGTGGCCGCAACGGCTGGAGCTGAGCCAATCCGAGGCCAGAAGTCAGGAGCTTCCTCTGCGTCTCCCACATGGGTGCAGGTCCCAAAGTCTTGGGCCGTCTTCGACTGCTTTCCCAGGCCACAGATAGGGAGCTGGATGGGAAGCACGCTTCTGGTATTAGAACCGGTGCCCATATGGGATCCTGGCGCATGCAAGGCGAGGACTTTAACCGCTATGCTATTGCACTGGGTCCTTCTCTGATTTTTTCTTTCCTTCCCCAAATGTTGGGGTTGATTCTGTAATGATGCATGCTAGGCAGCCAGGGAACTTTAAGCCTCTGAATCCAGGCACAGTGGCTGCCTATGGACCCAGCTACCCTTTGCTCAATTGCACAGCCACGGAGATTATAGTTAGAGTGCCCAAGGTGCCCCTGTCATGGAATCCCTGATGCGAGGGGTCCATGCTCTGCTCCCCTAGCCTGCCTGGTCTGTGTAGACAGCAGAGGTATTCCCTGGCTCAGCTGCCTGCCAGTGTGAGCCCAGTTCCTGGTAGGAAAGGAATCTCCAGAAAAAATTAATCTGCTGATAGTCATATGGAGGATCCCTGTGTGTAAGAAGTCAGTATTTTCTTGTTCTCTTTACTTAAGGATTTGGCAGTTTCACTAAAATGTAATTAAAAGTGAATCTTTGTTATTCTCTTTTGGATTTTTTAATCAGAATATTAATCATTGTATGTCTCATTTGGCAACTGTATAGCCAATATTTATTTAGTACTTTAAAAATCTATTTGATTATTTTATATATGATATATATTATTATATTATGTGAAAGGATGAGTATAGCATAGGCTATTTTACTTACAAATTGAATTGCTATAAAAGAATATTTTTGAATACTCTCACATGGTTGGCTTAGGTATTTTAGCACTGCACATCATATATGGGTACTATTTCTTTGAATAATATAATCACTCTTCTTTGTCCTTGTCACCCTGTAGACTACCACAATTTTTATCATTCTACATGCTAGTATACCATTAATTTATAGACCATTTTCATTCTTCTTCCTTTTTGTTCCTCTGGCTAAATTGCCTAGAGTGACCTGTCCAGATGCAGTTGTTTCCTTTTCTTGATGCTTATTTTTAGATTCCCCTCAATATATATATATTTTTTCAATTGAGCTATTATAGAATTTAGCTTCATGATTTTCCTCTGATACTTTTAAACATATGTTTCTGTTGAAATTCCCCCTTTGTGCTTGAATTGCTGTCTTAACTTCATTAAGAATCTTCGTGACTGTTTATTTTACTGATTTTTTTTTTCAGGTAAAGCATGTAAATTCATTTCTTTAGATAAGTTTCTGTAGTTTCATAGTGTTCTTTATCTGGTATATCATTGCACAGGTTTTTGGGGTTTTTTTTGTTTGTTTTTTAATTTTTTTTATTTTGACAATCTTTACATAGTTAATTAGGGTAAAAAGGTTCAAGGGCTACAGGAAAGTGGATAAGACTAGTATTTTTTCCATATTGTTTCCTTCATGTTTAAAGGGGGGTATAAAGGGAGAAGGCCCACCCAATTTCCCACCCTCCCTAGGTCCTGGATGTAGGGTATGCTCTGAGGTTCTTGCTCAAGTGGTTTTGATATTGCCACAGTTATGAATCGCTGCCAATCTTGCCACTCCCAGCACTATGAGGTCTTTGAAAAATCCACTGATTGACATAGTCCATCATAGCTGAGATGGTTGGTTGACCTGTTCTGTCTTCTCTCTTTCCTTGGTAAGGGTTCTGAGTCCAGCATTTAGATTAGGAAGATCTCCCAAAGAAACCTTGTCTGAGGTGTTCTCAAACCAGATTCTTGTATGCGCTAGCAAGTACAGGGCCTGGCACAATCCATTGCCCTGATCAGCTGGTGGTTGTAATTGCTGGGTTGGTTCTGTTTTCATTCCCGACTTCCACTGGAACCAATGGGTGTTGCAGTCCAGCCTGGTTCTGCCCAGCACATACTTGGCCCTCACATAAACCAGTGGGAGCTGCAGCCTATTTGGAGCGACCCGCAATAACCCCCACCAGGCCCGCCCCCTACCCTGGTTTGCCAGTATGTGTAGCAGTAATCCAGTCTGTCCCACACCCCATTCCACCCCAGCCACCATCTTAGTTTTATGTCCTCCCGTGGAAGTGGTAACCCAAGAGGGATGAGCCCACTATTTCCCTCCCAGGCCTCTCCCACTCCCAGATGATGCACTCTCCAGATAGTTCTGTGGTTTGACTTGACAGAACTAGCCCCCAGTCCAACTTCCTCCAGCTGATGCTGTGGCTAAGCCCAAACAACCCTCGCCCACTCTAATTTTGTTTGCACAGGTTTTTGTTTTGTTCTGTTTTGTTCTTGATCCCAGGCTGATGTCTGTTCAAAAGACAGGGCAGGCTCCTGTACCTCTGTTAGCATAGGAGAAGCAGTGACCCCTTCTACGGCTAAGCAATCTTGAGGTTCGTAAATACTATCTTTGCAGTACTTAGCAAGTAGTTGTGGTTTTTGTCAGCCCATTCTGTGATGGAGAATGAAAAAGATCA